GGCGCGCATCGACCCTGCAAGAGTAGGAACATGCACATCGGCCATGCGAGCAGACCCAAGCGCCACTTCTTTCGCCTTGGTCTTGGCATTGCCTCGATCTCTAGCATCTTGGCTTGCTTCTCCATCTTCATCTCAAGCATCCTCATTTGCTTCTCCGCCTCCATCTCAAGCCTCCTCTTTTGGATCTCCATGAAGGCATTCATTTGCTTTTCCTTGTCTTGTCGGCGCTTCTCCTCCCTTGAGTCCTTCTTGGTCATCATGCCCTCCATGGTTGCGATCGACGCCACATCCCGCTTATCCTCCTTCTTGGAGTTGGTCTTCCCCCGTGTCCGTGGCTTCTCGCCCTCCCCAAACCTCCTCCACGGCTTTCTTCCCCCCACGTGTCATGAGGGCGGCATATTGCGCCTTGAACTTCTCCTCGTCTTTGATGACCCTCCAACAATGGGAGAGGTTGAAGGGCTTGCGTTCATGTTGGACCTTGAATGCCTCCAAAGCTTGGAATGCCTACAAATGAATTGTATGCAAGCATATTGGCAAATGGATATAGAAATGGACATGCAAGCATAAACGAAATGACACAAAGAGGGGCACATGCATGCATACCATGTCTTGCATGCCGATGCCGCTCACAGGGCGTGCCTTGATGCTCTCAAAAGTGGCACAAAACTTGTTGCACTCTTGTTGGACAACCTCCCATCGCTTCGGAATGGACACTCACCCGCGCGTGCTTTGCATTTGGTATGGCAGAAACTTCTTGCGTTCGTGGAACTCATGATGGACACGAGTCCAAAAGGTTGATGCCTTTTATTCGGCGCCGACCTTGGGGTCTTGCCCAATGTCCCTCCAATACTCACAAAGGAGCTTGTCCTCGGCCGCCGTGTATGCCTTCGTCTACCTGCTCTTGCACTTCGGCTTCACCCCAGCGGCTTGGTTGGCGAGCTTGTCCTCGAACAAAGGATCCCCGTCGATGTCCAACTCATCCTCTTCCTCGAGGATGTGGTCCTGCAAAAACTCGTGGTCGAGCGGGAAGCCGTCCAGGTCCAGGCCGACCTGATCTTGCATGAAGGTGGCCTACCACTAGTAGAAAACAGGGCATTGATTTTTGCCAGATCAGAGCAACAGTCCCGGTCATGTTACGAACCGGGACTAATGGGAGCATCTCAGTTTGAGCGACCAGGACGCCAGCCGGGCCTCAGCAGGCACCAGTCCCGATTCGGCTGAGACCTTTAGTCACGGTTCTAGCCACGAACTAGGACTAAAGGACCTCTCTCCTAGCGCAACCCCTTTAGTCCCGGTTCTAGATCAAAGGTCGATGATGTGAATGACCCTCGACCGTCCTATCTTTGTGTCTCATCGGGATGGTAGCCAGCCGCGGCGGCACCGCCAGCGGCCGCCATACCACCCTCGAAGATGATGCTCTGCATGAAACGGTTGGTCGTCTTGCCATCGCAGGCCGCACGCATTCTGTCGAACAGGTTGCGGGCGCCGGGGAGCATGTCGGCTGGCATCTCGCGCGCGCGTTTCCTCGCGCCCATCGGATGACGAGCCACCGGCTACCACTATGGCGTTGAGGTCAATGGGCGCGGGCGTGGAAGGTGCCACTACGCTCACCTTCGGCGAGCATTCCCCGGAGAGTCGGGAGGCTTGTGGGTAGATGTGGAAGCCGGGAATCGGGTGAGTGGTCGACGCGCGGGGCGACTCTGGCAGCACCATCCGAGGAAACACACATGGACCGGTGCTGGCCGCGGCCACGACGGTATTGGTGAGCCCGTGCTGGCCAGGGTTTAACCCTAGGTACAATAGTGCTTCCCTCGTTGCCGCCGCGACGCGGGTGGCGGCTATAGCCGCGGCGGCCGCTGCTTCGTCCCTTGCGTTCGCCGTTTGCCTCCGGCCCTTTCTCTTTGCTGACTCCCTGGCCCGCTCCTCGGGCGTCAGCTTCTTCTTCTTCTTGGGCGTAGTGGCGGTCTTGCAGGGGGGTGCGCGCCTTGCCTTTGCCAGAGGGGGCGGTCGTGATGCCGGACGAGGCGGGGGAGGCGAGGCCGGCGGCGGCATCGAGGTCGTCGTCCATGGTGAGCGGCGGTAGCGCGCGCGGGCGGGACGGTTTTGGGTAAAGCGGGGGGAAATGGTGAGGTTTTGCCACCGACCGGCGGCCAGGGGGAGTAGTAGACACGCGTCGCGCGCATTCATCTTGTGTCCGCGCCGACGCATATCAAGCTCAAAAATGGGTTGGGAATGGGTCGGTAGGTAGACGGAAAGCGGACACGCATCCATTTGAATCGGCGTTGCACCGACTTTTCTGTCCGCCGCGACCCAAACAAACGCGCGCGCACGAAATGGGTTGCCGCGTTAGAGTTGCCCTAAGGATCTCCCAGTTGTGTGCCTTCCTCAAATCCCGCTTGTGGCTACAACCCCACACCCGTCCTGCCTGACCTTGCCGTAGGCTGAGGTGAGAAAGATTTTTTTCTTCATTTTTTTGAGTTGGATTTAAGGATTTTTTTGTTCGAGATGAAGAAACAAGCGCATCCCTTTATCTTAGATGACGCGCAGTCGTGCCCCCGAACCATCGCGGTACTAATAACGTGCATTCTACTAGATTTGGGATTGATGATTGCATTATTTTAGATTTATTCAAGTTTTTTCAACGATGTCCGTTCAGCGAGAGGAAACTTTACGTTGATTACCAGACGCCTATGATGATTCATCAATCTTAAGATATTATGTCGGCCGAGTCTCTCAAAAGTGCTCATACAAATAAAGTATATGTTCGTGTGTTTATAGAGATGAATGTATGGACACATGTGCGAGCATCTTTAACTGTACAATGTTAAAGAAAAAATGCGTTCAACATCTACATATGTGGCATTTTTCTGGCACTGATACATTGCTCTGCTCACATGGTGATGACATGATGCTACTATTATTATTATTTTTGATATTGACACGATGCTTTTTTTAATGTTAGCAAGAAAACTGCTAAATTCACTGAATAGCTAGAAGGTTGGTCCAGTTTATGAGGGAAATCGGACCCAAAAACCATACAGACGACGCCTTTTGGCAAACAACAAACAACACACACTCGCAAGCCACGGGTCCCTCTGACCGAATCCACCTCCAGGACGATGCACCCAAGAGAGAACACGACGTCGGATAGCGCCGCCATCACCCGATCTAAACTAGATCAAGGGTTTCCCCCGGAGCACGTCAGGAAAGGCAAGGTGAGAGCAGCTACATCGATGCCTCCAACGAGGGAGCGACACCATCGATGACTCCAACCGCAACCGGAGTACGAATTTTGCCGTCAGCCTCACCTGCATAGCCCGAACCCAGGATCCGATCAGCCCACACACCAAACCGCTACCCCTGCCTCCACGACCAACCACACCTCCTCGACAAGCTCGACGTGCTTACAACCTTGCATCCGCGTCTCCCATTGGACGGAGGATGCAACCCCCAGCGGCGCCATTCGTCTCCCCAAGGATGCAATACCTGCCGGCCATTCATCTCCCGAGGAAGGATGCAACCAAGCAGCGAGGCCATTCCTCTCCCTCCAGTCACCACCATCTCGTCCTCCCACCCGAAGAAGCGTCGAGCTTACCGAACCAACATCAGGAGGATGCAACACCGAGCAAGAGTTCCATTCATCTCCCACAGCTTCTCCCACGCGGCATGTGGACGGCAGCAACGCCGACGCTCGCGCTCATCTCGCACCCAGCACGCCGCAGATCTGCGCAGAGAACGGTGCCCGAGCAACACGCGCACTCGCCTCCCTGGAACTGACTGTAGCCACCCATCTACCCCGCCAAACACCGCCGCGCGCGAACCGCAACCGCACCATGGCGTGAATCGCCACCAACACTTGCGGATGACCAGCAAGCAGACAAGCTCCTAGGCCTTCCCAAACGCGCTGAACAGTGCCACTCACGCCAGTCCGCGCGCAACACCACTCCTCCCATCCACACGTGTGCGAGCAGCCGCGCCAGATCTGCGCCACCCCGCTGCAGTCCCCTCCACCTTGCGCGCTGACGGCCGCACCAAATATGCGCCGCCGGCTCCATGGTGCAGCAAGATTACGCCCTCCTTACTCGCACGCCCCTGCGAGCCGCCAGGAGCCCGACGGTGCCGTCGAGATCTACATTCCCGTGCCCGAGCCGCCCCTGCGCTGCTTGT